CTATTTAATTTTAATCTCATTTGGCATAGTTTCTGAAGTATTCAGCTTAAATGAGATTGAATAATGGTTGTATAGTTGAAGATGTTAGATATGGAACTACAAAAGGTGAGCTATTAAAGTAGACCTAGACCCACTGATTAAAACTCAATGTTAAATTATAAATTTTGTTCTGTATTGGCAGACATGATTATTTGTGCACAGAAATTCGTAAGTAAACATGCTTCATTGGGAAATAAAGGTGGATTAGGATTTTCCTCACTAAGTAAGGATAAGGATTCCCCCTCCCAAATCTCTAAGAGTTTATCTGATCGAAGAAATTTCTATGTTGATTATGTTTGCTCATCCTTTTTAAAGCCTGAAGTTTCTGTTCTATTTCAAGAATTATTTCCTTCTATTTTTTGCTTTATGATTTTATTTCAAAGCAGAAAAAAAAAAGAATTATAGCACAGTTAAGAACAGGAATAACAGGGGAATTAACTGATGTATGTAGATGGTTAATAGAGTGGAAAGCCCGAAATTCAGAATCATCCCAAAATTCAGCAATTTTCAAATTCTAGACCATCAGTTTAAATCTAGTAAGAGGATATGTGTGTATAAATTATAAAATAAGAAATATGAAATAGTTGTTACCACGGCCATTAAGACAGTAAAGGAATCATGATTTAAAAAAAAAAAAGAAGAAGAAGAAGGAAGAAAAGAAGAACTGGATATCATTTTGCCTGTTTTATTAAATATGTCTTTCAATGGATGTTCTCTAAGTTTAATTTTTTTGTGATAATATTTTCTCCTTAATTTTATTGGTAGACATAATTTCTTGTTCATTTAAACAGTTCCATTGTTAAGTGCTTATATGCCATGCTGAGAATTCCCACTAAACTGCTATTCAAAATCTTTTAATCCTCAGTAACCTTTTTGTCACTTTCTTCACTATTGATAGCAATATTCTTGGAATTTAAAACCTACTGTCTGCTAGTTGATTGATAATTAGCCCATTGTTATCATAATGGAAAAATTTCTGTTATACCATCTTCATTTATCATTTTTCCATATTTTTTTACAAAGCTCATCAATTAGAAAATTTTGCTTTTTGTGCTTGTGTTATCAGGAAACCTTCAAATTTGCAGATGTCATCATCACTGTGAAATATGATAGTTCATTAAATTATGCTGAGCATTTAAAAAAGTATCTCCTAATATATCTTCCCATGACCATGCAGTGCTAATATGCAGTGCAGATTTTACGTTAAAATATTTCAAAATTCTTCAGTGCTGTTGCCACATTTTTCAGAATATTTAGCAGATTTTTTTAAAACATTCTGCTTTCTAGCTGCATTTCAGTGTGCAGTACTTCAATATCCATTGGCTGAATTATGGATGTACAATTTGGTGACAGAGTAAGTTGAAGATGTTATCTTTTGTTAAAACGTAAGTGAATTATGAACTCAACAGTTACCTATGACCAGGACATTTTTGCATTATCTGGTAAAACTCTGATTTCAAATGTTGCTGAACCTTGGGTATGAAATGATTTTCACACCAATCATTCATTAATGTTTTTGTCATCCATACTCTTTCATTGGAATGATAGAGGGCAGAAAAAATCATTACTCTTTTAGATATACAAGACCATGTATTTTTTCCAATTATGAATAATTCACATTTGTGTGTTCCTGCAACATTTGCACTACCAAAATTGTTAGTTTCCCTTTGGAATCTTTGACAATAGTTGGGGCCTATTCTGCAGACGTTGTAAGATATTTTGGAGCACATAATATTTAGAAAAGACCAGTTTTGACAGCGTTATAAATTTTATCTGGAGATAACTTTTCGCTGTTACTTCAGTTTGATTAATTTATCTGCGAATTGCTGCTTCAGTATCAGCCGAAGCATTTCTGCCTGAAATTTTTGACTGTCTTATACTATGGCCATTTTTTAATTTGGTTAGCAGCCTGTTGAATATGTACTCTCAGTTTCTAAGTCCATTTCATAATGAAATATTTTGGCCTGAGCCATTAGCATTCAACTCGTCAGTTGCATGCCCTCACTTCAACATTGTCTCACTCGTTTAGTCATCGCTTTTTCATGATCATATATTTTAGTATAATGAATGACCCACTGTTCATTATCAGTAGAGTATCAGATTCATAAAAATTTCCTTTTTCTATTTTTCTAGTGCCATACCTCTTGAATAATTTTGAGACAAATATGCCTTTATACATTTTTTGCAGCAATTCCACCATTTGCTTGATTGATGAAAGATGCTTTTGCTTGACGGATCTTTCAGCAGCTCCATTTTAGGAACTCTATAATTTTGTTAAGGTAACTGTAATAATAGCCTAGAAAAAATAGCCAACTTAATCAAATCGTAAAATAAAGAAAGAATGCAATTTGATCTATTAACTGAACTTAAATATAATTCATTCCTCCTTCCCTGCTGGTATACCAATAAAAGAAAACCAGTATGAGCAACATCATCTTCAAACAAATATGTCATGTGGTTTCCTTTATTGTTTGCCCCTCAATTACTCAAGAGCTGAAAGTGCAGTCATGGCTTATGTCAGTACAGTGTCAATTAATGTATAGTCATTGACCACAGTGTGATTCTCTAACCAGTAAGTGTCTGAAAGTGATATGTAGGAATCTCAGTCGAGTGAAAAGTTGCTTTTATGGCACAGTTGCTTTTTCTTTAGTATTATATTTTCTTTTCCTAGATTTAAAAAAAAAAAAAAAAAAAAAAAAAATTTAATTGCTGGAGGTCTAACTATTTAATATGTGGATTTCGGACTCTATTGACTTTGTTGCACTTAAATTGCTTTTCAAAGGTGATTACCTCATAGAAGTATTGACTTAATGATGTGCACAGTGCATTAATAATAACTATTTATAATATGAATACTTTTTATGATGATGACTGTTCCTTTATTCGTTTTAGAACATTCAAATTTACTAGATTGTTTATATAAATGTGTCTTTTATCAAAACCTTTTTCACCCTTTGGTGGATAACCTCTGAAAATGTAGCATTGTCGGATATGTAAAGCTATTTTATATTTGGACCAATACAGCAATTTTATGTTGGTCCAGACTTTTCATTTACAGAAGATCTAAAATTTTTACTGAAAATTTCTCTAACCATCATAATGGTCTAAGTAAGTTAAATCTGAAAAAAAAAAAAAAAAAAAAAAAAAAAACTGTTTACTTTCCATTTAAAATTTATAATTATATTTCATTATTATATCATATGAAAGAAAAACATTAATATGTTTTGTAGTGGTTTGATTTTTTTTCGAAATAAATGGTTCTCAATCTTTATATCTACCTCCATTCCCCTGTTCATTAGTACTATCATCATTCAAGTGAACATTCCAAATAACAATTAGAACTTAAAATTGGTTTAGTATTCTGTAAAGGTACATATAAAGTTAATTCTTATTATATTTCATAATTATATATTATATATAACTTTATTAAATTTTAAAATATTGTAATATTTAATAAATAAAAAACCCCTTCGAGCCGGGTAGCGAAAACGTGCGCTTGTCGCGGGGCCGGCAGTGTCTTCCGCGAGCGTCTCTCCAGGGCCGGGGGCTTTTTTGCTACTAAGCCTAAATCCATGAAATTTCCGAGTATCAACGCATTCTTTATAATGCTCTATAGAGTATTTAAAAACGGCTTATGCTTTATAGATATTTATATATATATATACTTTAATTACCTTATTTCTTGTTTAAATGCATATTTTACACATTTATTTTAATTACTCACCCCATTTTATGACTTTTACATTATACATCTGGAAACTAATATATTTACTTAAAATTCTCTTTTCGTATGAAAAATTTTAAACAGGGATCTACACACAGTCCTACGTTACAATTCCTTGAACTAAAAAATAACTCATTTGCCGTTTTTGGAGGATTTTTCTGGGAATGTGAACAAACGAAGCATCGTCGTCTCATTTTCTTATCAGTCTCTTCTGAACAAAGTTTTGGAAAATGTCTTTCAGTTAATCTTTCAGAATCAATATCTGAATATTTTGCATCATTTCTGCTATTTTCATGCTCTGTTAAACATTTTCGACGCTTCGACATTGAAACGGTAAAAACAGAAAAAACAGAAAGAATTCACGTCTAACAAGATCTAATTATTTTCTAAAAACTGAACTGTAAACCGAAATACTCAACGCTTTAGCGCATATAAAACTTCTACTTACAATAAAAAACTACCACGTGCGAATAAAGTGTGCGATTTAAAGAGACGTCAAAATCACGCCATTCGGAAACATTTAGTTCCCCGTTTGTTTAGATAATCAAAAACACGTGTATGTGAGTCATGCTTCTCTCATTTCGAGTAGAAGGTCTAATGTACATGTATCTGAAACCATATGGACATACAGTGCCATCTTGTGGCAGAAATTATAGTTTGAAAAACGTTCCAAGGTACTGGCACAAATACGTGACAGTCGGTAGTAAATGCAACAATGCTCTGGCACGCCTGCGTGTTGGCCGGTAGATAAGTGTGTTCGTTGCTGGCACATATACGTGACAGTCAGCGCGAAGGGGTTAATAAAGTACCTATTTATTTTTAGTGCCCTTGTGTAATATCTAAATTTAACATTTTACAGCCTTTTTAGGCATTATTATATCATTCATGTGTTGTTTTTTTAAGAGCTTTTATCACAGTCTGAAACAACTAGTATGAGTTTGAACAGTGTCGCTATGACTACAGTATTCGGTGCAGAACTGTTCGGAACTTCCTTGCTGATTAAAAATCCTTGTTTAGATAAACAAATGAAGAAAAAATTATCATTTTGAATATTTTAACTTAGTTTTGGTACTTCAAATTAAACAAATTAAATTAAACTGTTTATAATAAAAATTTTAAATTATGAAGAGTAGTTATTTTTCTAAAATTAAAATATTCCTAATCTAAGATTTTTATAATAATTTAATAGTGTCATATTTATTATAGCTTGAAAGAAATTTTGTGTCTTTTATTTCAGGTCTGTCCAAAATGTAAACCATTAAAGCAGTATATACGTCTTTTTGATGTCACAGAACGAACTGGTTTGCATCGACATAAAACTGGTCGTTTTTGTAAAAAATGTGGAACAGAATTACATGATACCATTGTTCATTTTGGTGAAAAAGGGACTTTGTCATGGCCAATGAATTGGAAAGGAGCTGTCAAAGCAGTATCAAAAGCTGATTTGATTCTGTGTCTTGGAACAAGTTTAAGGGTATGTATTATTGAGGAAATATGATTGCAAAAAGGTACTTAACCTTTTCTGGGAGGTTGGGATGTGGCTCAAAGAAGTTAAAAACAAGATAGAAAAATTTTAGACGATTCAAAATGAAGAAGAGATGAGATTGAAATTAACATGAGTCATGTTGCAATAGAGACTGTCCTTTCAGTATTTCATACATCTGAACTGCAATTCTGAGTACAACATCCCTGTGGAAACTAATGAAAGATGACGAACGTGATGAAGCTATCCATTTTCAGCACAAGCTGACAAAGCAGAAGGTTCATCTGCAAAAACACCTGCAGTTTTCGCAGATACCTCCCTTCTGTGTTTAAACGTGGTAAAACCTGTCACATTGTTATTCTGTTCCTTGCTGACTGAATAGTTGAAAACATGACTGCCATACATAAAAAATTACTCTTTATGAACAGGAAAAAATGTGTCTTCTCCCCCAGTCAAAGTGTATTTTAATTTTTTTAATTATCAAGTTTTCAGTTGCGTTTAATGTAGTTATTATAAAAAAGAAACATGCTGGATGAGAGTACTGGATATTAGGATCTCCATAATTTTAATACATGCTTTGTTATTACACTTTTCACAAAAAAAAAACTTTATAGCATAATAATTTAAATAAATCAGAAATGAACTAATTTATTAAAATTAGTTTATTCAGTTTTCACAAAGAATTTATAAAAAAGCTTTGCCAAACATTTTACTTGTTGCTTTTTATTTCAGATTTGTGTATTCAGCATTATGATTGTTATGAAAGGTATCCTAAACTGCTTCCAGCAAAGTGCATTTTATCAAGTACTGCAGGAGCAAAAATTTTGTTAATTTTATGTTATTTATAATGCTGTAAAAAATGAAAATTGGCAGATTTATATAAAATATTCAATATGAATATTTTATATAAATGTCAATATGTTATTTTTTCCCCTCTTGCATGTAAGATTAAATAAGCTATTTTCCGGGAATCAAATTTTAATTCTCTATTGTATGCTTATATGCAGCATCAGATTAAGTGTAGATCTATAGGAATGAGTAACTATGCAACTAGTAGGATAAGTTTAATGGGGCAGTTGTACCAAAAAAGTTTATTTCACTTAAGTATTCTTTTGGTGCACATTTTTACTGGATTAATTTCTTTAATATATTTATTCAACAGCTATAGTAAAGAACAACAGCTATAGTAAAGCTATAGTAAAGTAACCAAACTGACTTTTAGTAGACTTGCACTAATCACCTCAGAGCTGCTCCATCCCTCCTTTTTTAATCCATGATTTAAAAAAAAAATGCACCCTTTCTTTGACTAAAGAAACTGGACAGTAAGAAATAAAGTTTCTAAATTAAATACATGATTAAACTTGGAATAAAAGTAAGCTGAATCAGAAGGGTATTAAATTTCCTAAAAATGCCAATAGTAAGGATTTTGCTTTTCCATAAATGGATTATGATAAATGTCCATTGATTTCTAGCATTTTTATTACTTTAGAAATTTCTAATGGCAGAACAGTAGTACCTTGTATCCATGGGTAATTCATTTCAAGACATATTGCAGATAACAGTGAAAGCTATGTAAAATAGAATGTCTATGAAATAAAATCATAAATTCATTGAATTTAATTGATAAAAATATACTGTATTATACATATAATAATGCAAAATTTATTCCTAAAATTTTTTTCAGTGATGAATAAGATATTATGACTTCACATAAGTTTAGAAGCACTGGTAACACCACATCTCTTAGACTTTAAAACTATCATAACATGTATAAAAAATTTCTGAGCTTGAAAGCTGCAATAGAATGTCACTATGAGAACAAGAAAACTATTAAAAAGGGCTCGGAGAAATTTAGTGGGAAAATCTATGTGTGGAGAAAGGGGAGGAGCCAAATGTTTTGACCACTGATAACATGGGTCTCCTGCTACCATTTTTTTTTATAACATTCATGGAAGAAAAACCCAGTTTTAAGGAAAGAGCTGCAAGAGAACATATGTATTCTCAAGATGGTCTCCCATCTAGTTGTGTCTGTTGGGAAAGTGTATGCACATGCATATAGTTGTGTGCGAATGTAGTGCTTAGGTTGTTACAGTGGCTGCGTTTAGCCTTAGGCTATTTATCACTTAGCATATGTTTTGAAACTTCAAAGGACTTTTACCTCCATGGAGGGAGGAAGAAGAAAACATTTAGAACAAAATAAGGGTATGATAAACACAACATGGTTGAAAACACTGTATGTTTATTAGAACATCAGTGCTAACAGCAACACCAAGATGCTGTTGTTGAAATGATAATGTCTGCAAGAATTTTAAAAAAGTATCATACCTTGATAATTACTTAATGAAGATTTATAGAATAGATTATTATTCTATGCAAAGAAAGTAAAAGGAAAACTTATTGAAGAAAAGGGGATAAATGAGAGGGATGTATTCTGAGGAAATAAAGAATTGTTTTGTAAAAGCACGTGAAAATATTTAGTGTCATATTCACCAGCAAAATTTCTTTCAGGGTAATTTTTATGCTCTTGATTAAAAAAATGTTAAATAAATATCATGGTTATATAAAACCCCTACAGTAAAATTTTACCTTAGTTTAATCCCTACACTAGTTTTGCTGTTACATTTCACACATATACAGTTAGATTAATAAAACTACTAGAAGTTAACAAAAAGTCCTAACAAAAATATATTTGCTTATTATATATTTTTAAAAAAATGCTGTTAATTCTGTAATGCTGAATTTTCTTTGTTTCCATCTAAAAATGAGCGCAGATTACAGGCATTGATCTATTAAGCAGTCATAATGATTATTAGAATTCTACTTTAACTCAACTGTGAAACTTATATCATCTTATTGCAGAGCATACAAAATCAGAGTAAACAGCAAACTAATCTTTTTGAGACAAAGAGCTGTATAGATGCTAAAAATAGTCATCAAAATGTTTAAAATATGCCATTGTGGTATTGTAATAAATCCCATACAACTAGAGCAGCATCTAAGTTTTCAAATAAAATATTAGAACTTTTCTTCTGTTTCTGTTGGATTTCATCCTAGCAATATCACAAGTGCGTGTATACCTTGAGTAAGAAAAATAAATTTACTGATGTAAACAGTAAGAAAATAAAGCTTCTAATTTTTAATGAACTGGTGCTACTTTTCATGGCAGTATACTGTAAACTTAATGCAAAGCATCTTGCTCATAATTACTGTAGTTATTTGTATAACTTTTTAAAATTGCTTGAAGTTCATTGTTCTGAACTGTTGCTGTATTTGAAACAAGAAAACTTATCATTTTCTAAATGTACTCTGGCCCTGTTCTCTGAAAGAGGCCTATGTAAATTTTTCATGAATGCAGGTGCCAGAGCCAAGTGGTCCAATCCTCTGTGATACAATATAAACAGCAGTAAATATAATGTTACTATAAAATGGACTATTCAAGGCTGTTACCCTCCCCCCAATTTGCAATTGTAACTTGTATTGCCATTGTTGTACAGCACTTATTTTCTGCACCTCAAAAGTGTTGTTCAAGTTAGTTTTCATTCATACGCTTTACGTGACATTAAATGAAAATATAGTGGGTGAAAAAGAGAAAACAAATTAAGCAACTCGAGTTTTTTCCGCAGCTGTTGTTCCCATGTTGTTGTTCTAGCATTTCTTATGATAAAGACATGGTTAAAATCTGAATAAAAAATTGGAGTTAATGGAGAAAAAAAATAAAATTTGCAAAAAAGAGCAATTAATTGCCAACTTTGGCACTGTAACGCAAATTAATTACTGTAGCAACTGTATGATGTTGCTAAGTTTTAAGAACATCTATAAGATGCAGGTACCAAATGATGAAGACGATGCTGTTAGTTTTTTTACTAGAGTATAATATATTGTCGAATACTCATTAGTGTTCCAGTTTGCACATTCTGAAATTTATATGCAAAATATTGAATGGTATAGGGTTTTCAAAGCGGCAGAAACTTAGGGGTTCAGCGAGACACCATTTGAAATCAGGCTTAGTGGAGTTCATGTGGCAGCATAAGGTTATAATAGTTGAGAGTAGGAAACCCATCAGAATTATTTTAGAAGCTACTTCCAAACATTTTTCACCCAAAATAAAGAAAAATTAGTTGTATCAAAGCACTGCCAAAGATAGCCAATCCTTCTCAGTTAACATGTAAATACCAAAAATTATAACCTCAGTTTGAAGAGTAATTTGACAATCACTGCCTGTAATATATTTGTATGTTCTAAACACCTTTGCACTCTGGGGTGCAAAGATGAGCTGGGTGAAGAAGAACAAGTAATGAAAAGACGCATTAATTGAGGAGTTAACAAAATGTAAGAAAAATTAACATATATTATTACCTTCGGTCTCAGAGCAGTGTGCAATTTGTTCAGATAAATTAGCTATAGAAATGGGAACAATCTGTCTGCCCTAATGTCATCTCTCTTGTGGATACTTGTGGTTATATAGCAAGTTTCAAATATATGCAGTTCAGTGATAGTATCTTGAGGTGTAACAAAATATATGAACCAATTCATTTTCAGTATTCTGGATTAGTTGTAGGTTTGTTCCATCATTTGCCAAACGCACTTGATCAAGCAAGATCTGATAAAGTTAGTATAATAGAGGGAAACCTAAAAGAACCATGGCTTGTATGATTATAAATTAAAAAATAGCTTGTGTATATTATGAGGAGAATAGTTACAAAACTGATGGAAGCATTCCAACAGTAGACTAATAAGCCGTAGGGGTACTATAAAAGAAAGCACCAAGGAAAACTATCTGCCTATCATAGGAAGATTTCTCCAATCATTGCAGATATGTGCCATTCTGCAATAAAATCAGAGACATGTTGCATATCCCAGCAAAGGCAGACTTCATGCATTGACAAGCTTGTCAGTTGATACCTAATCTGACCAATGCCACTTGATGCTATTCACATACGGGAGTGGAAAACATTTCATAATATCAGCAATGCTTATTTGTAATTGGTAAGCAAAAAAGAAGCATACAGTACAGAACAGTTTGTTAATAGACATATCCCTACCTATAGATGATGTATAACAATGTGATATATTCCTAATTCAGAAGTCAAACAACAAAAATCAGTGTTATATTTACAAAATTTTCACAGGACTAGTTTCGACGATGGTTTTACCGAACCACCATCCTCAGCTGCAAAACCACAAAAGAACAAGATAGGAAATAATGATTAGAGAAGATAAGAAAGCTTTTACAAGAATAAGCAAGTGGTGCCATCTGTTGGGGAAACCAGAACTAAAACACAATTTCTTTAAAGGCCGAAGGCAAATTTGGATTGGAATTAGGATCGTTAACTAGAACAGAAAGATTTTTATGAATGTGAAATGCCTCTAGAAAATCCAGTTCTCCAATGGAAGATGTTTTTTGAATAATTTTGGCTGCAGAAAAATTGAAAGTGTGATTTTCAGACCAACAATGTTGAGCAACAGAAGACTTCTGTGTTTCCTTTTTTCTAACATATGCCTCATGTTCCTTTACACAAAATTTTAAGGCTCTCTTAGTTTGACCAATGTAAATTGAACCACACTGGCAAGGAATCCTATAAATACCCCAGGAATTCATATACGGAATGGGGTCCTTGAGTATGGAACTCGAAATTTTATTGATGGGAGAATAAACAACCCGAAAGTTAAATTTCTGCTAAATATGTGCAACTTTATAACTAATTGATGGGAAGAAGGGAATGAAAACAGAATTTTTATAATCTCCTAAAACAAGAGTGTGCCTTTTAGTGTGTTGAGATGAGAGTTTTTTAACTGCTTGATTAATAATGTTGGGTGAAAAGCCCCTGTCAATAGCTATTGCTTTTAAATAATTTAGTTCTTCATCAAAACGTGCTCTTCAAGTTTGCTCCTCCAAACTAGCCCTTGATGAAGAACTAAATTATTTAAAAGCAATAGCTATTGACAGGGGCTTTTCACCCAACATTATTAATCAAGCAGTTAAAAAATTCTCATCTCAACACACTAAAAGGCACACTCTTGTTTTAGAAGATTATAAAAATTCTGTTTTCATTCCCTTCTTTCCATCAATTAGCTATAAAGTTGCACATATTTTACAGAAATTTAACTTTCGGGTTGTTTATTCTCCCCATCAGTAAAATTCCGAGTTCCATACTCAAGGACCCCATTCCGCATATGAATTCTTGGTGTATTTATAGGATTCCTTGCCAGTGTGGTTTTGATTTACATTGGCCAAACTAGGAGAGCCTTAAAATTTCGCGTCAAGGAACATGAGGCATATGTTAGAAAAAAGGAAACACAGAAGTCTTCTGTTGCTCAACATTGTTGGTCCGAAAATCACTCTTTCAATTTTTCTGCTGCCAAAATTATTCAAAAAACATCTTCCATTGGAGAACTGGATTTTCTAGAGGCATTTCACATTCATAAAAATCTTTCTGTTTTAGTTAACGATCCAAATTTGCCTTTGGCCTTTAAAGAAATTATGTTTTAGTTCTGGTTTCCCCGACAGATGGCGCCACTTGCTTATTCTTGTCCAAGCTTTCTTATCTTATCTAATCATTATTTCCTATCTTGTTCTTTTGCAGTTTTGCAGCTGAGGATGGTGGTTTAGTAAAACCATCGAAACTAGTCCTGTGAAAATTTTGTAAATATAACGCTGATTTTTGTTGTTTGACTTCTGAATTAGTATTTATTCGCCGTGTTATTGTGTCTTAATGATATATCTGTTTATAAATTTTTAACAAATCTTTTGTTTTGATGTTCTATAGCTCCTAGGCTTCTAATAAGCATATATCATTGAAATTTACATTGAATTAAATATTTGCACAAATATTTATGGACTGCTATGTTTTGGGTGGTTTGAAAATTATTATGTGGACTATTACGTGTTGGCTGCAAAGAGTCTCCTCCGTACTAAGAGTACATTAATTTCTCAAACTTGTATATCTGCTCACATATCTGATGTCTGATATCAAATCATTAAATGTGGTCTGTAGCAGTTCACTCACATTCATTCTGCTGTTGTAATTACCCTCAGATTTGAGCTTCACTTTGGGTATACTTTTTCAAATCCTGTTTGCAAGCTTTATGGTTGACCTTTATTTGTAGCCTTAATTTTTAAATCTTTTGTATGTTTAAAGTCTTGGAATATTTGTATGCAGAATTTATTTAGTTTTGAAATGTCCCTCCTTTTTAATTTAATTTTTATTTTTTTTATTATTTGGCAAAAAGTGTGTTTAATTTTTTTTTTTAAATTCTAAGCGATCTTTTATGAAATCTGTCATTTTGTTTTACTTTTATTGCTGTCTTATAGTGCTTTTTGATACGCAGAACTTGGTTAATCAAAATTCATTTGTTGATATAGTTTTATAGTTGTTATAACAAATTTTGTCTGTTATTCTAATTGAAACATTTTGCAGTTTTTACTGTCAAGTTGTATACTGAAAATCATTAATAAAAAATAACAGCATTAACAAAGTACTATCAAAAAATTATTTTATATTGAATAAACTAATATATATTAATTTGAGGTGCTGTACTGCAAACATTATGTTTAAATTCATTTGATATGTTTTTAAAACACAGGTGTTACGAAGATACCATGGTCTTTGGATGACTCATAAACCTCATATCAAGCGGCCTAAGTTGTATATAGTAAATCTACAGTGGACATCTAAAGACACTCAGGCAACTTTAAAAATACATGGTAAATTGTTATGTGTACAAATTTTATATTTTTGGTGCAGTTTCATTTAAATTCCAGTGCTTTATGGTTTTCATTTATCCATAATATTTTAACTACCTTATTTTAAAAATGAGTAACACAAATAGTATACGCTAAATCAGTTTAATTTTTTTAAGTTTTAGAGAAACACTTAAAAGTTTTTTTTTTTATTATTATTTTATTTTATTTATTTATTTATTTTTTTAATAATAATTATGGTTTAAAAATAATATCATTAAGATGGCCTCCGTTCTGGTCAATGCATTGAGATAGTAGAGTTTTGAAGTTTCTTTCCACTCTTACCAGCATATCAACAGGTATATTGTTGATAGCAGCTTGAATATTGTTCTTCAGTTGAGCCAGGATCTTTGGACGTTAGAGATTTCAGATAGCTCCACAAAAAGAAATCACATGGGGCTATATCAGGCGAGCGTACTGACAGTCACCTTGCAAGTAGATAAGGCTTCTAAAGAAAATGTTCTCCATGGTCAAATGATGCCTATTCCGGACAATGCACACAGTCACACATTCTGTATGGAGGGGCTGCTCATGAAATTCTTGGGGATTCATGCCACTCCATTATTGCATGTTTTGCTTAATGCATGCTGCAACCGGAAAGATGAAAATGACCCTCATCCCTAAAGAACACAAGGGCATCATGAGGCATATTTTCAAGAACAGCTTTGCTGCATGCATTTTTTTTTTTTTTTTTTTCGTGAAAGAAAATCGCGTGGATTAAGTTTTTGCACCGCTGCTAATTTACATGGATGGAAATGTAGTACATTGAAAGGTACGACTCCACGGTGAACGCATGCTCCTATCTCGTCCACTGCATGATCGGTACTAAACCTACGTGACATAAAACGTTAGACATCTCTCTTTTCATTGAGTGCCACCCCACCCTTCTCGGAATAAATGTCGCTAGAAGGCGCACATTTCAAATAAGGAAGTTCCCCTGTCGCACCCTGTATTACTCATAAAGAATATTTGCGAAATTTATTTGTGTGGTCATAAAATTTTAAGATTTATGAAATGTTACATATGCTTTGTTATAGTTTTTGTTTCCAAATATTATTTTAACACAGTACACTTTATTGAAAATTTCCAAATTAACAAGAGAGTTGTCTAGTAATGTATGTTAACATTTTAGGTAAATGTGATGAAGTTATGAAGCAAGTGACAACATACCTTGGAGTAAATGTACCAAAATATGAAAAGTGAGTAAAAATTTTATTTTACATTGTTTCTGCATACCGATGGTGAAAAAAATTGCTAATGAACGATAATATTTTGTGTTTTTATTTATTTAAAAATATATATCAGTGATCCTTCAAATAGGAGGCAGAATCTAGGATATTTTTCTTGTAGTAATACACAGAACTTTGGACTCATCAGTTTTGTCCAAACTCTGTAAATAAATTGTATGTGAAACGAGAACTTGCATTACAAGGAATTAGTGTTTTTCTCTATGCTTACTCCCATGATGTGACTTCAGCTAGCAGCAGAAGATCCAGAGTTTGAATCTGTGTGAGGGCATAATTAATTTTTCACATTTCTTACCTTTAAAAACTGTAAATGCTTTTATTTTATGGCCTGACAAAAATGTGGATGATCTTTTGTCAACACTTGGAGCTGCCCGGCCAGTATACTGGTTAATGACGCTAACTGGCATATCGATGGGCCCAGGTTTGAATCCCGGACAAGGCATGGCTGTTTAGCTGAAAATCCTCCTGAGAAGTTGTGGTAAGGGAAGAGGGCTGGGAAACTCTCGGGCTGCCTGTGAGATATTCTCTCTCAAATTAGGAGCGGAATTGCACAGCGAGTGCAGTGGGTCTGTATCTGTTCGACCAAATGATAAAATTATGGTGTCCTACCCATTTCTACTTGTCGCCATTTAGAAGCTTAATAGTTAATACAGAAACTTAGCGAAGCCCAGTTATACCTAAGATAACTATCAAAATACATATATGCTGATCTTGCTTCAAACTGTATCTGTCATCAATTTGGCCATTTGGATCTCATTCTTCTCTCATCAGTCATCCTTTAAGCGCATGAAAATATAAGCAGTTATTGCTTTTTCCTGAATGTGCTGTTCTGGTGCGACTGGTAGCATGCCTGTCTAGCATCCTAATAAGAATAAGGGTAATTTTTCATTTTTCTTGAATTCAAAAATTCTAAATCTCTTTATAAGGTCTCTAAAAAATAAACAAGAAAACTGAATCCTTATTAAAATTCATATTATTTAAATGCATTTTCTTATTTAATTTACCAGTGGCGTTGTAGTAAAGTGCTAACACTGCAAACCAAGAGCATCAGTTGAAATCTCAATCCGTCTGCTCTTTTTTCATTAATATTATTAAAAGAATACTTCTTCAAAAAAATATTTTTAAAGAACTATTCATGTTATTAAAAGAAAAGTTCTTGAAGAGCACTTCTGCCCTTTGTTAAAATTTATATGGATATTTTTTGTGCAGATAATATTGAGGCTTTCTATAATTTGTTCAAAAAAAAGCTTCATGATTTTCATGATAACTATATAGTGGGGAAAAAATGGAGGTCCATTTAATGTTCTGACTGGGGTTTGGTGGAAGTTTTTATAAATAATAATGAACTATGCTTTTCCATTGAAATTTTAGGAAAACCTGTTCTGGAAAAAAAAATTGTGATAGGACAATAAAAGTGTCTGGTGTGAAATCATTTTGTATATTTTTATATCATTTTATCAATTATAATAAAACAATTATAATTAAAATTAATAATGTAGTAAATAAAACATACATTCTTTTATTTGTTTGTGCAGCATCTTTTATTACATTACTTTTTAAAAGAATTTTTCATAGTAAGCTTTCTTAAAATACAGAATAAAAAAGTTAAAAGAATTAAGTAGTGCAAACAAAAGTAACACTGCCAGATGGGATTTTAACTAAAGTATCTGAAGTTCTAAAACTTCACTATGAGCTGTCAACGAACTCATGCAGGTAAAAAAATTAAATAACGTTTATGAAGAACTCTAGCCTCACTTTCTGTTGGTGTGACTGATATATTTCAGCCAGTAAATAGAGCAAAGTAGTATCTAAAATTCTTTACTACAATACATACTAAACAGCTAGTTCACTTTAAAAAAAATGAGGCATTATAAATGTTAAAAATATCAGGATCTTTATCATAAAACATTTTAATTCTTTGTTAAGTATTCAGCCTAAATGATGAGAAGCAAGTTATCAAACATGATGGACTGATAATTATGACTCTCTTTCCCAAGTATATTTTATTTACAGGTGTAGCTTAAATAATGCATGAGAAATCTGAAATATACATATTGCCATTGCCAGTAATTTTCTTGATTGAATTTGAGAGGTATGTATTGGTGTTTTAGTTGCACATTGGGTTTTGAGTGCTCTATCACATTCAGATTTGGGGCAAAATTGGTAAGTGTATGGTATGTGTTTTTTTATTGCTAATAGTTTTTACAGGAAGGTTTTGAACTTGATTCTTCTGTGTTATGGGCTGCAAAATTTCACTTAGGAATCGTTAGAGAAAACAGTTATAAAAAATGCAAATCTGGAGCTCTAACAGCAGAGTTAATAATGATATTAATCACTTTGACTGATCTAAGCATTGAAAAAAAATGTAGGTTCAGGTAGGCAATAAATGATCAGAAATGTTTGAAGATAAAGTTATGCATTTACTGGACACAAAATGATGATATGATTCTTATGTGCAAAAAACAGGGTAAGTTGCCAAATATATAGCAGCACTCTTGTTAAATCAAATAAGAAGCTAATATTGTCTGTCATGAAAAGATAACTCGTCCTAACAATGTATTACTTGGTGTGTGATGATCCCAGCCTCTTATTTTAGGTTAATCAGAATTAAAGGCACATAGCATATAACAATAGCATTTAGATTTACTCATTTGCAGCCTTGGATGCTGCATTTCTCCTTGCAATGCAAACAAGTGAGGTCAAGTCTGTATGAATCTTGTGATTTGACCTTGCCTTGTTTACATCAGTGTGGCTCACCATATTCTTGTAATATTTACCTGCCCTTCTAGCAAAAGAAATCTGTTAAAATGAGATCTGTGGTTTGATAACTGCAAATAGTACTATCAAGATGAGAAGAACTGAATTCTGCTATGTACGGTATAAAGTCTGAGATCTGGAATTGCAGTACTTGATGTTGAAATGTCCAGATTTTAGATCATCAATTTTAATCTAGTAAGATGACATGTAGACACGGCAACACTGGACCTCATTTGTTATTTAGAATAAACAGAAAAATGTTATCCCCCACAACCATTCAAGGGCCAATAATGTGATCCTAGTCAGTATCAGCATAACATCAATCAATGTGTTATCATGACCATGACGACACTGCCTAGCCAGCTGGTGCTTGAAAGTGACATGGAAAGCTCTTAGCTGGGAGAAAAATCTCATTGACTATATTCCTGCTTTTTGTTTAATAGTATTTTCTCCATTCCTAGACTTTGTAAGGGAAGTGTGGAATTTGTGTGTATTATTTTATATTTTTGATCCAGACATCTGGATTTTAATTATAATGGAGAAATCTCCAATACTGTATCTTCATATTCAAGATCTATTATGCAACATAAATAATCTAGCAATAATTGGTAAATGTGGTGATAAAATGAGGGAAGTATGAGACTTGGAACTCATACCCATAAAGAATTTAGGAGTTTTAAATGCAAGGCAGGCCTGCTAATACAGTGTGCAACTGGTTTCATTTACATAGAGATGTGTGTGTTTCAATGTTTGATCACCATCCTTCAGGTATGTGATGTAGAAGAACATGCAAAGATCAATGAAGCATTGCTTTATAATAGAAGGCCAGTCGGGGACGGCTGCATCTAGACAATACACTAGCAGAGCAATTATCATCCTCTTTCTCAGATGCAGAGGATATATAAAACTTTGAAAACACAGGTCACATTGAGGACACTTGGGTTTTCATTCTGTTATGATGTTATATTGTCATTGGTAATGATGCTGTAGAGACCAACATGTATATTCCCACTAGACAGTAATTCATCAAATGAATTTTTATTGATCCTGAAAGTGGTGCCAACACTCGTATGATAGAATGTTTATGGAGATGTCTTAAACAAAAAATTGTTAGGAATCAACAGGAACAACGTTTATGATGCTGGCCTGCCACACTGCTGAATTGTGGTGGCGATCTGTCAATATTCAGGTCAAATTTCTGGTCAAACTGTGAGACGTCAGTGTTTGTATGAATAAAAAGTAGTGATGGCTATCAGTGTGTTTTTATATCTGAGGAACACGATTGACTATTGATAAATGTGAAATAGCACTGCTTCAATTAACATATACTTGCTTTTTTTTAATTTACACTGTATTTGTTTAAAGTACAATGCCTACCATTGAGGGATATGATAGGTTCCCTTGAGAACATCATCATTCATCTTGTAATGTTGATGTGCATTTATCTGATAATGTGGTAATACAGTGTGTCATCCATCATCAGTAAATCTTTATGTTGTCACTCTGCAAACCATAAGCCTATTTACCCTTCGAATTTATTCAGAAAACTGGCAGACGTAAAAAATGTTTATTGCCACTTGCAACATTTCAAATTTAATAAATAAACTCGGTGATTTAAAAGAAATTTTTTGCCACTACTCGAATTAAAATATTGTTATCATCCATGCAGCAGTGTTTTTTGTCATTCAACAAAGCAAAAGACGTTTAATTTTTCTTTGAAATTTTTTGTTATTAATTAACAAGCTAAACAATTTAAAAACAGTAAATGCAAATTCATTTCATTTATTGTTAAATACTAACTGGATCCATACCTGTTGTTCTTTCATTCTCACTATCAGTAAGTCAACATCACTATTGTTGCATTCCCCGTATTACTCTATACTTCATCTATGGCAATATGCTACAGTATAATGCAGTAGATAGTGTGTCATTGGTATAGGACAGTGGTCTTCAAACTGTGTTCCACAAGTCAAAATTAAAATTCAAAAAGAAAACTTTAAAGTATTCATACTAGTTGGAAAAGTTTTATTAAATAAAAATATAAAAATACATTTATCTGTAGATTAGTTTTAAAACTTAACGTGTAGTCATAATATGTCAAACAGAATAATGTGCTATGCTAAACTAAAGAGTTTTCTAATTGAAAAGAATTGTTAAGGACAGTTTAAAAAATTTTTACCACAGAGCACCTTTTG